TGTCTTCTTTGTTTCTAGATACTTTCGATTTGTCACTAGATCGTGCGCAATCAGCGCCACCTATACGCGATGAGGATAATCCTTCATTTGATAGTGCGCCTGAGCACCGTTCGTTGGCGACACATGCCACGTATACCGTCTCCGTTAAGTAAGCGGGTAAAAGAATCGATCCTAAAACGTTTCTTTCACGTGGAATGCGGTGATTTACGCTTCACCCGAGCAAGTAACCGTCTGAGAACTAGAAAGTACGAGTAATCTTTTTGGCGTCAATATCATTTCGAAATGTAGATTTCTCAACAAAAAAAAGAGAAAAAGAATATTGAGGTAGCTATTGTCGATCTTCGAATATTCGCAGCACTCGCTTCCGCCTGATTTCTATACATGGATAATCAATGGCATACCAAAGAGAGGTAGTCTTTTCAGCACACATCGAAATATTATGTTCGAAACAATTCTCCTTGTTACTGTTCTCGGTTGTATGGAAATTTTCATTCCCCGGTGGTAGCATAATTTCCCCTCTAACGAGAGGAACGGCGGAAACTGCCTGTTGGATCAACGTATCAAGCCGCACCTGTGAAAGGCGCGCCTCTTTTGAACCAGCTCGCCGGACCAATTACGCCCGCCGAGCAAACTCGTCCTGGTCGTGTCGCGCTGGCGATTTCGTTCGGCCGCTTTTGGCGATGGCCACGTTTCCAAATCCATATAGGTAAGCTTGCCCAGACTCACACAGCTGACGTGGGTCGGTTTTCTTGCCTTTTCACCTACATAACCGCGAAACGTGCGTGCATGTGCTCGTCCTGCCGGAAGAATAACTCGAGGTCGGTCAGGTGGATTTTCATATTATCATGGCTCTGTTTCAGATTTCCAGCCGTACGATGTACGTATTTAACGTGTCGCGCAAGGTCAACGCATTATATTTATATGGCGGACGCCTGATTAATTGGTTATACTACTCGGCACGTTCGTCCTCGCAATCTCTGCTATTGACATTGGCATGATTACTCGATACGATTGTAATACCGTGGACCACAGTGACTGCGTATTTCTCTCCAAGGATAAGCACAATCGCGAGCTGTATATATAGAGAACGAGATTAACACCAAGGAAAACCAGGATAATGAAATTACGCGTGAAGAGAGAAGCTTTAGCTAAAGTTTCCCTTAGGAATAATAATGATTGTCTCGAATGAACGCTCGACGGAATTTTAATTAACCTATTGTCCCTTGGTACAAATCGGTATGAATGAGGCCCTTTATCAATTAACTTTTCATCGTGCCAATGGTAACGAATCTGTAATTATTTTTAATTGCGTTAAACTGGCTTTGCAATCTTTGCAATGAGATTGAATATTTTAATGCATTTTAATATGTATCTCGAACGTCTTTCTTTTCAGTTTGTCAGCATCTTACGTAAGCGAAGTGGAAAATCCTGCCGAACACGACTTTTGAGCTATGCAGTCGTGCCAATAGTATATACCTGTTACGGTTTCACTGTTCAGTGTAAACAGAGCGCATCGATGCAATATTGAGTCACGGAATAATGATCGACAGCAACGTGAACGATAATCATAGTAGTAGACATTGCAACTGCTTTGCCACGATGAAAGTGTCAATTGATTCTTCGAATGACATATCGATTAATATATCCTCTGCCTTCTTTGTTATTTCGTTAAGCAACCTTTTTTGGTACCACAGACATTAATATACGATATTTTGATTATGCTCACGGATGAATCACGAATTCACATGCACGCGGAATATAAGTATTCCCTTGGAACGTTGGATTTGCATATCAACCCCCAGTGCTAAGAATAGAGTTCTAAAAATATATTCGATGCTTCTGCCTTTCGATAATTCCGTGCAGGAATGTTGAATTCTACTACCAATTTATTAGGCTCGATCAATGTCAGATTTCAAATGTGACCGAAAAAAAAGAAAAAAAAAATTTATTCAGTACAGAGTTTCACGTCATTTAAAGTCGTCGATATGATATTTGAATTAAGAGTCTGTGCTGGAAGCTAGAATCGTATGTTAATAATGTCGTACATGGTAATTATTCCATTAATATTTATATTACAAGTCAAAGATTGCGGAGAGCTGAACTTTAATCAAATCTTAAATATATAGAACTATTACATGTCGCTTCGTTACACGATATATATTCTTATCAGTTTCATAACGATTGAATAAAATAACATCACGATAGATTTTTTTCTAGTTTTTATCAATCCCACTTGCTGACCGATTTTGTTAAAACATGGATGCCCTCGTCTCTCGCCACAATATCCCTTAAAAAGTATTGTCCCTGATTCTGAGCTCTGTCCTTTAGCTTCACTCCAGTTCTACTCAATTACTTTTACTTTACTTTACATAAACACCTATGTACAACTTTTAGATTAGACGTATATCAATGAGTCATGTATTTCAACTTCTCTCTTAATACTTACCATCTTCTCCCATTTTGTTTTTCTTTTTTCTTTCTTTTTTTTTTTTTTAGGTAAGATCTCTTATAATAACATATCAATTTAGACAATCAAATGTCTACCGAAGAGATTACTGATCACCGGATTGGATCCAGCTTCAGATCTCATCACTGCCGATGTAGTTCGGGCGCGCTTCGTGCCGCTCCGGTGATCTTCGTCTGCCAGTGGGAGCACCCCAGCGGTTGGCAGATCCGTCAGAAAGTACTCGACGGACGGACAGTATCGTGAGCGCTGGCCACGGCAGCATGCGCGGGAATTCGGTTTGCCGCTTGTTGTCCCTCGATTCTCCTCACGCTGTGACAATTCGCTTGTCACTTGACAATCTGTTCAACGACGATATATAAACGCTGTTGTCACTCCTTGCCGTCTCACCTGTGCGCGTTCGTATATTTGCGTGGAATCGAAACGAGCAAGATAATCGAGGAATCGTTGCATTTGATCTGTCCACGGATTTAACAGCAGCCAGGGATCAGGTGAATGTAAACACGGGCTGCTTCTTTCTTTTCTCACTCACTTTTCTTAATCCAGACGAATCTTACTTACACGCCTG